GCCGCCGCCCGGCCCTCGCCCGGCCATGGGGGACCTGCCGGGCCTCGTGCGCCTCTCCATCGCGCTGCGCATCCAGCCCAACGACGGCCCAGTCTTCTACAAGGTGGATGGGCAGCGCTTCGGCCAGAACCGCACCATCAAGCTGCTCACCGGCTCCTCCTACAAGGTGGAGGTGAAGATTAAGCCCACCACGCTGCAGGTCGAGTGAGTCCGGGGCGCGCCGCGGCTGCCGGGTGGCGAGGGGGGCGCGGGCGAGGCCCCGGGGCAGCTGAGCCTCCCCGGGCCGCTCTAGTCTCGCACCGCGCGTGGCGGGCCAGGGGCCGGGGAAGAGCTCCCGGTCCTGCTTGGTCCTCTCCTCTGTCTCATGGTTGCATTACTGTTCCCCCTTCCCTCCACGATCGAGGGACTTTAATGGATCCCTTTAAATCAGCTACGTGGGTGGGGGGGACTTGTAAATTTCCTTTCTACTCAGCCACCGGCTGGGAAACGAAGCTGGTCAGGGTGGGACAGGGAGAAGGTCGCAGCAGGGTTCATCTACCCGCAGTACCAGCCCTCCTCTGCTCTGCCCTGGCATCCTGCCTGCTTCTACCGGCTTCTGCCTGCAAGAAGGAGAAATAAGGCTGAAGGATGGGGCGTAAAGGCGGGGGGTGGGTGATTTGGGGGTGCTCCGTGAAGGATATCGCAGCTGTTCCTTCGGCCCTTTGGAGGTGGGGGACCCCAGCCTGGAGCTGCAGACATAAGACAGAGGGCCTGGCCTCTGCTCAGGCCCAGTTTCTTCAGTTCTTCTCCCCTCACCCAGCCCCCGGAGCTGTCTGTTCAGTCTGGTGATGTTGCCTGAGATGAACAGCATCCTCGAACACAAGAGTGTGTTTTTGGTTCATTAGTGGCAGGGATTAGCTCTTCCCAGCGACCAGGAAATGACGCACCCAGGAAACCTCTGGCAAGAAAGTCAGTGCAGAACGGTGCAGCAGCCTGTAGGGGTAGGGAGACAATCCATTACCTGCTCTGTGAGGAGAAAATAAATCAGTATGGTATTTGCCATATACTGTGGGAGGAGAGGATTTTGAATCCATGACACACTTTCATAATTTGTTTTAATTTAGTAAACCTGTGTGAGCCTGCTAGTGCAAGGACCAGAAGCACACTTGGAGGGTTCCTCGTGTTTCGGTTCATCTATTTGGCAGCACCCCGAGTCCGTGCAGCCGTTGCCCTCACGCCTCCCGGCGTTACCAACACATGCATGTATTCTAGGATTTTTCTTTCCCTTCTTTCCTGGCAGCCTCTTCCCCCGACCCATCTGCTCTACATTCCATTTCCCTCAGGGTAGTTCTCTAAATTTCAAGTTAGTCTAAACACAGATTTAATGGCAAAGATTTTTTTTCTAGCTACACTTTAGTTTTATCAAGGATTTCTCTATAAGAAACCCAAGCATAAACAATTTAAAGAGCAAAGCAAAAGATAAGAGGAAACGGGGAGATAGACTTTTTGCAAACGAACCAGGAATCTAGAGATAGAAAAAGGGGTGAGGAAGGGGAAGTGAAGAGGATTCGGACGTGTTGCAGACATGTACCAACTCCCCAAGATGAATATATGCATTATCTATCACAAATATGCTGTAATAATAATTTAAAAAGGGTTTCTCAATGCCCCACTCCAGTGGTGATCAGACCATAGTGTGCCTAGAATCACCTGGAGGGCTTAAAACATAGATGACTGGGGTCCTCCCTGGAGTTTCTAGTTTTCTGTGCCTAGGGTGAGGCCTAAAGCTTTGTGTCCTGATAGGTGAGGTTGATACTGCTAGTCCAGGGCCTTTGAGAACAACCATCCTAACAAAGACGATGCCAGTGGGAATTTCTGGTGATGTGACAGACTTGAAGACGAGTACCATCGAATCATAGAACCTGGGGCTGGGCATTTAGCTCAGCAGCACAGCACCTGCCTGGCAAGCACAAGGTCGTGAGTTCGATTCCTGGTACCAGAAAAAAAAAAAAAAAATCATAGAACCTGTAATTATTAGAGAGCTAGTCACTGGTTCTTGACCTTATCTTATCTTATTATCCTTAAAATAAACTTACTAGTGCCAAACTACATCCCAGACCAATGAATCCTAGTCCCTGGGTTTTGAGGTGGAACTGGGAAGAGGTAGATTTTAATAGCTCCACAGATGATTTTGCTGAGTAACTAAAGAAGAGAAACACTAGTAGCTAGATGAGATATTGTGGATGAGAACGCTGAGGTTGGGCCAAAGAGACGAAGTAGTTGGTATGGTCACATGAGGGGTTAGTTGTAGAACTCACCCTCCTGAACTTTCAGAGCTTTCTACCATACTGCAGTGTCTCCCTTAGCCAAGCCCTGTAGGTCTCCAGTCTAGGGCTTCGGTCCAGACCAGGATAGGGCACCCAAGCTAATCCCTACCAGATATAGTCAACTAAAGTCCATTTGCAGGAACATTTCCATCGGTGGTGTGCTTGTCCCACTGGAGCTGAAGTGTAAAGAACCGGATGGAGACAGAGTGGTGTACACGGGCACATATGACACAGAAGGCGTGGCCCCGACTAAGAGCGGAGAACGGCAGCCCATCCAGATCACCATGCCGGTAAGGCTGGGTTGGGGGCTTTTCCATTTCAGGGAGAATGGAAACCAAGGGAGGAAAACTAGCAATCTTTAAGAAAAAGTGTATCGGAGCCAAGAACTGTGAAAGTTAGATGGGATTTCCATCATGGGCTTGCTGGAGAAATAACTGTGTAATTAATGTTCTTTTGTATGACAGACTGAACCTGCAGAATAGATGCCTAAAGTCACCAGGCAAATGACTCTGAAGAGAGTACCTACATTGCCATTTTCCCTTTTATATTCTGCATCTGAACCAATTTAGATAATTGACCCTTCAAAGTCTCTAATTCCAAGTAGCCTACAGTATTTCAGCTTTAAAAATGTTGATTTGTTCAGTGACATTTTGCTACTTGCATCTACTCCAAATGGAGGGATATTAAAAAGTGACTGCATGGAGAATAATAACCCCTTTGTATCAAGTGCTACTGAGATGAAATAAAGCCATCCCTGGGAATCCATGGGGGATTGTCTCCAGGGCACCCTGCAGATGCCAAAAATCTGCAAATGTTTAAAGCCATTATAGAAAGTGCCATGATATTTACATATACCCTGTGTCCATCTCCAGTATCTCTAGGTTATGATACCTAATATAATACAAATAGTATTGTTACCAGAAGCAGACTTCTGACATAGCGAGCTCCTAACATCACAAGGTACTGGCAATACACCTCCATTCTTTGTCTTTGACAAATGATCTCGGACAAGGTATGTAGGCCATCATACAGAGTACAGGTTGAGTTTTTTTGTAAAATGATAAATTTTCAGAAAGAGAGAAAATAAACCTTCAAACATGAGAGTGGGCGAGTGCCAAAGTGGCAACTGTATTGAATGAGGCCTCAGGTTACGTTCATGTGATTTTTTTTTTTTTTTTTTGAGACAAGGTCTTGCTCTGTAGTTCAGCCTGGCCTTGAACTCACTATGGAGCCCAGGCTGGCCTCAGACTCACAGCAATCCTCAGCTATCCTCCTACCTCAGCCTCACAAGTGTTGGCGGTCCATAAGTAGACCATCCAGTCTGGCCATTTATGTGATTAACTGGGTCTTTGAAGAAATAGTTTTCCTTCTTCCAAAGTCATTGTTCTTGTGTAAATAAAATCGATTGTGTTTCCTCACTTCAAAGGGCAGTAGATCCCTGTTTACTACCCCATAGACCTTGAGGTTTTTCTAAGCCTTCATTCATGATCTGGGCCCTGGATCTTGTCAGAACACTTAGAGGATGTTACATTCCTTGAACTTAAAGTTTAAAACCACAAGCTTGTGTGGAATCTTGTCTATAGTTAATGATTTAAGAAAAGGCGAGGGAAAAATCATGTCATCTTGACTTTTCAGTTGTTCCTAGGGCTGCTAATGACTAACTTTCTGCCTAACAGTGTGCGGATAGTTGTTATGCCGCATTAACTAGGGAATAATGACAAGGTAAATGTCTATACATGTTCAGTACAGACACAGTTTTTATTTTCTGAGTATTTTCAATCCACAGTAAGATGTCCATTGATGCAGATTGTCCATTGATACAGAGGGCCACACAGAGGACAATCTGTACATTATGAGACTATATTTACAGCAAAGCAATATTAATTAAACAAAAACATCAAACTGATAAAAGGTTAAACAAGTAGAATTAACTATATGTAAAAACACAATAGATGGTGACATAAGCTTGTCAAAACACATAAAAAGGAAAATTCACCTACATTGCTGCTGTAAAAACTGAATAGCAGCCGGGCATGTTGGGACATGCTTGTAATCCTAGCACTGGGGAGGCTGAAGCAGGAGGATCACCATGAGTTGGAGGCCAGCCTGGGCTACTAAGCGAGTTCAAGGCCAACCTGAACTGCATAGCAAGACCCTCTCTCAAAAAAAAAAAAAACTAAGTAGCTTTTTCTCTCTGCATGAACAACTTCGAAGCCAGCCACAGTGCTGGTGCGCGCCTGTAATCCCAGCTACTCTGGAGGCTGAAACAGGAAGATCACACAATGGAGGTCAGCCTGGGCAATTTACTGAACCCTGTATCAGAACTTAAAAACACCTGGGGAGTTAGCTCAGTGGCAGAGCACTTGCCTAGCATACAAAACCCACCTGTCCCCCAGCGCCAAAATGAACACACAAACAAAACCATTTGAATTGTCTGCCCTCCACAGAGGTTTACAAGTACCACAAGCATAAGAATCTCCTCAGGAGGTTATTTGGATTGCCAGTCCTAGGTTCCACCTACAGTGATTTTAGGAAAGTTAAAAAGTGGGGTCAAAGAAACGGGATTTTCAACATGCTTACCAGAGAACGGGTCCTGAGGAAGATGGTGTGTGGAATGACCTTTGAGAGCTAAGACTTAATCCTTCCACTCCTTAAAAACCTTAAGATCTCCAAGATACAGAAGGAAGGAGGGGGAAGAGGAAGTAAAAAGAATTACAATGTGTTGTGTGCAGGTACCAACTCCTCACAGTGACTGTAATCATTACATACTGCAAATATGTACTAATAAAAATTATAAATGGTTAAAAAAAAGAAAGCCTTAGGGTTTCACAGTACTCAGTATACTGAAAACAACCACAGCAGTAACATACAAAAATAATCTAATATCGCATCCTTTGCACCTTCTATTTGAACTATTTTTGTAAAGAATTCAATTTTGTATCAGAGGTTGTTAAACAAGTAGAAAAATACAAAGTGGGAGAAATATATAATTCTTGTAGGAGGTAGCAGTTATCATTTTGATGAATGTCCTTAGAAGGTTATTTGTACTGTCTTTTCTACTTATACTTTTTCTACTTCTGTACATCTTCAGATGTCAAATATACCTCCAGTTTGTAAATGCAGTATATTTTGAAATCTGAGCACTGAATTATATGAATATATGAAACTACCCTCAGTCACTATTGCTGATTATTATTTCTCAGTATTATAAAAAACTACATTAGATTCACTCACTTCAGCAAAATTGTTTAATGTTTTCTTGGGATAAATTTCCTTAAGAAATGTGTATGCTAAGCCATTTTATAACCTAAGAAAAGCTAGGCAATGGCATCTAAGAAAGCTAGATCATAGAATCTGTATTTAAGTATCCATGTCCCTATACAATTGGTATAAGAAAATACTTTAAAATATTTTTAATCTGATTGGTGAATATTTTAATTTTTATAACTTTAGTGGCTGCTAATTTGAAATATTAACATTTTTATATACCATTTGCATTTCCTTTGTGGATTAATGTCCATTGCTTTTACTTATTTTTGTTTTGTTTTGTTTTTTTGAGACAGGGTCTCAATGTGTAGTTCAGGCTGGCCTTGAGTTCACTATGTATGCCAGGCTGGCCTTGAACTCATGGCAATCCTCCTGCCTCAGCCTCCTGAGTACTGGGATTACAGACGTGTGCGGCCATCTGGCTTCCACTGCTTTTATACCGTGTGTCTCACTGATTTTAAACATTAAATTAAAGGGCCGGGGATATAGCTCAGTGGCAAAGTGCCCGCCTGGCAAGTGCAAGATCCTGAGTTTGATTCCTGGTACCATGAAAAGAAATGAAGAAAAATTAAAAATAGTCCTTTGTCTTATTACATCATGAGTGTGCTCATCTTTTATCATTTGCATTTTAACCTTATTTATAATATAAATTTTAAATTTTCTTATAGTCCAATAGATAAGTCTTTTCCTGTGTTTTTTACACTTGGGATCCACCCAGCTTAGAAAGTTCCCTAACTCCATACACTATGCATACATTATGCACACAACTGTACTGTATGTTTTCATCTGAGCATTCATGGATTTATTTGTTAGATTTTAGATGAATTAGATTTAAGTGTTTTTTATTTTATAGTTTCCTATTGGAGTATATTTGTTCATAATGTCCTAAAACAAGTTTTCAAATAATCTATTTTTCTCCAGTGTTCATTTTCATAGTAATTTCTTATATTGAAAACAATTATAGTTCTCTATTATCTAATATCTTGATAATATTGCTATTATCTCTATTATCAAGTTCATTGATTCTTATGCCAGTTCTTATGCTAATTCTGCATTATTTTAAATATATCTTTACTAATATATATTCACATACTTCTAACTGACTGTCTTATTGAACTTGCTTACTAAAATTTTTCAGTTAATTATCTTGAATGTTTAGATAGTCATAACCTGCATATAACTGTATCTCCTTTGATACATTAATGAGATATATTATGCAATGATACACTTTCAGATACTAGACTACACTTTAATTCCTAAAATGAGCTCTACAAAATGTGATGTATTATTTTTAGTACAGCACTAAATTCAACATGTTACTTTACATTTAGTGTTTTTAAATTAGTTTTTTAATTTGCTCGCTTTATCAGCAAATATTTGAGGATTTCCTATACATTGGGCTCTGAGAAAAGAGTGGTGAACACAGTAAATCCCCCTTGCTTCACAAACCTTGTCATGTAGAGGGTGCAAACATACTTTCTACATGGTTATCTATAAAGAGGTAAATAATTACTATTAAAAAGTGTAGTGGGAAAGGAGCACAGTGCCCTTGGAGCATATGCCAGAGACCTGGTCTTAATTTAAGAGTTGGGAGATGGCTTTCTTGCCATGAGTAACAGGAGGACAGGGGTTACTCAGGGAAAGGGGAACTGCAGAAGTCAAGAGCTGGGGGACTGCATTTGTCCTAACAGAGGAGAGAAGCCCGGCCAGGCTGGAACAGAGAGTGAAGGGAGATTCTCTTTGAGAAGGCTAGAGAGGTAGTAGGGGTTGGATGTTCTAGCTTGCTGTAGTATGAATACGGTCTGAGTATTTCCCTCAAAGGTTCATGTACTAGAACCTTGGTCCCCAGTGTTGAGGTGAAAAAGACTTCAAGACATGGGGCCTAATGCTGGGTAATTAGGTCACAGAGCAGTGCCTTGGGAGGGACTGATGTGATCTCTCAGAGTTCTTCCAAGAGTGGTTTGTTACAAAGCAAAGCTACTCCAAGTGCTTGGACCCTTCTGCATATGACCATGACCCTTTC